TGGCATTTCTTTATGGCCAAATGAATCGTCTGCGGCAGGCGTTACTCGAAGATTGGTGGAACGAAGCTTGCCCGCCCCGATATCGCAAGCTCGACCTGCTCATGCGACGAAGGAAACCACCTGAGCTGGGACTTTCGAGGTTCCTACTCCGAAATCTGATTGCAGCTCGTACTGGACATGGCAATTTCGCGGCGCATCATCGCCGTTTCAACAATCTGGACGCTATAATGGAGTGCGCCTGTGGGGAGGAGACCACTCCTACCCATTGGGGAACTATTCTCAACACCTGTCAGCGGTGTCCCCTACGAACCTCCAGCTCTCACTGTAGAGTCTGCAGAGCCGAGATTGAGTAACAAAGTCCTCACTTCGATGAGGATTCCCAATCGCTTTCGCGGTCTGTATCGTCTTCATCTCTCAACACATTCCCCTATCACCATTATCATGAAGCTAACCACGATCAGATCAGATGGTAGGGTCGGAGCTCAACTCATCACCAAACCTTGATCACGGAGGAAAAGCCATCCGATGAGTTTCCGGAGCGTACCCAGCACCCGATACGGAAATGGTGGATTGGATCAAGTCGGCCTCGACTGTTACAAAGAAGGGAGATGTGGATGAATATGCGCACCTCATGTGGTCCCGGTGTCTAGGCCTCGCCTGGCTGGGGCTGCAGGTTTTTGGAGACTTTTTCCCGCGCACGCAGTTTCCATTGCTACCATTTTATTTTTTTTGGGTAGAAGGTTCCGTGGAAAAGGTGGCTGAATTCCACGGGTAAATACTGAGTTGAATGGCTATTCATCAAGGGGAATATATCAATGATCTTTCAAGTAACAAAAGAGGATAGGAGCACTGTACAAGGTGTGGCCTGGGTCAGAGAGGAGCCCAATGTGCTAGATAGTCATAGACTCAAGTAGTACAATAAAACACACACACACACCATGGGACCGATTACTCTCGCTAGACGATGTGACTGCTTGCACTATTCTGACGGGAGATAAGGCACCGGGGTCAGACAAGATAACAGTTCGCCTACCCAAGGCATGCTGGACAGTAATCGGAGAACTAGTACAGGATATCTTTCAAGCCTGTCAGGATTACGGACACTTTCCAACAGCGTTCAGAGGATCTGAAGTCGTCTCTCTTCCCAAACTAGGGCGGGACCTTGCAACCCCAAAGGGATGGCGACCTATCTCGCTACTATCATGTCTGGGAAATGGATTAGAAAGGATAGTTGCTAAGAGAATGGCTTGGCTGGCGATTAAATATAAAGTAGTCCCCCAGCAGCTTTTTGGTGCTCTCCCTGGACCCTCTGCAGTTGATCTCGTATCTTGTGTTATACACGATGCGGAAGCGACAATGCTAAATATCAAGGTCATGGTCATGGTAACTCTAGATGTACAAGGAGCTTTCGATGCAGTACTCCACAAACGCCTACTATGACGGATGCGGGAACAAGGGTGGCCTAAGATATTATGCCGATGGGTCGAGTTTTCCTTGACAGTGCGGATGATACGTGTCAGACATCAGGACTGAACGACACGAGATAAAGTAGTGGATTGCGGAGTCCCGCAAGGGTCGCCACTGTCACCACTCTTGTTTCTTCTCTATATTACATTACTAGTTCAGGATGGAAACAAGAACAAACGCTTCGGATATGCGGACGACATTGCGGTTCTCGCTGTCGGAAGTACAGCATTGGAGGCAGTAGCCACAGCTCAAGAGGAGGTAAATAAACTTGTCCACCTAGCTAATGAGAATATGATAGATTTTGATCCTTCAAAGTCAGAGCTCCTAGTGATAGGTGGAGGACCCAAAAAGAAGCTTGATGCATCGGGCCTTTCAATTATTATTAAAAGTCATAGTTTAACCCCTTTCCCTTGTGTGAGATGGCTTGGCGTTTGGTTATATTCTCAGCTCAACTTCAAACAGCATGTCCAAGAATGGTGCGATAAAGCACAACGCATAACTCAGTTCATACGTCAAATTAACTCTGTGCAGCGCGGTGCGGCCCCGGGGCTAATGATAAAAGCAGTACGGGCATGTGTTCTTAGTACGGCATTATATGGAGCAGAGGCGTGGTGGCCAGGGCTGGCCCGATTCACCTCCCAGTGAAATAAGAAAGTGGGCACAAGAGTCGGCTGGGATATGGATCTCCGGGACATAACCATCATGAAGGCAGTTCGAGCGGCACTACTAGCATGGCAAACTACCCCAATTGTGGCTCTACACAGAGAGTCGGGTATTCCGCCGGCAGACATCATCCTTCAGCAAAGGCAATTGAGAGCCGTGGCGCGCATTTAGCGAATGGACACCTGGCACCCACTGTTGAATAGATCTCAAGAGAGACCTAAGGAAACTATAGACCGTCTAGGACTCCGCGCAGGACAGAAAAGCCGTTCGTTTAAGAACCCGGAGCGATACCTCACGCGATTACAGACTAGCCTCGGAAATGTGCCGGGCGCCGCGGAATCTGGTATACTATTCTTCCCCAAAATGGAACAAAAAATTCAATCAACGAAATTCGACAAGCAGTCCAAAGCTGCCCAGGCCAAAATATGGGTAGAGAATTTGTCAGCGGACACCGTATGTGCGTACCCAGATGGTTCGTCTTGCGGCTTGGCAAGATCTGCGTGGGGATACACTCTGTTCAGAGGGTGGCAAATGATTGGAAGCGTAGCAGGACCTTTGCTTGGTGCAGAGGCATACGACGCATAAATTTTAGGAGCCCAGAGAGTACTTGAAGCAGCAATACGGGATGCTGGCAGCAAACCTATCAAGGTGCTCCTAGACAGCTCAGAAGCCACCCAGGCTCTGCGCAGCGGAAGTTCAAGATCCTTCCAAGGGATAGTTGACAAGTTTGTCTCTGACTGTCGAAATCACCAGTCAGTAGAGATTCGATGGATCCCGGGACACTAAGGAATTGCAGGGAATGAGAAGGCAGACGAGCTTGCCAAAGCAGCCTTGAGGGATCTTCTGGACGAAGGAACCGACACTACGCCCTATACAGAAATAAATCGAAGGATAAGATTTACGTTTGCATCACTCGACAGGTTTGTGAGAGAACATGCGAGCGAGCTGGTGGCAACATGGTGGCAGGAACATGCACATCGACATTATGTGGACTTTGACCTGAAGATGACACGCAAGCGACCTCCAGAACTCGCTCTGCCGAGATGGGCGTACCACAGGTTGATTGCGGCTAGGACAGGACACGGTGACTTCGTCAAATATTACGAAAGATTCAAGCATGAAGATGTTATCAGCAAGTGTGAATGCGGACGAGAAAAACGCCCACGGCACTTTCCAGATTACCAACCAGCCGTACAGCATTGGAGAAGTATTAAACGAGAACCCCCCCGAGGGCGAGCGAGATGCTGGCAGAAGATGGATGGGAGAAATGCTTTGAATTCGTGACTATAACTAAATTTTATGTTGCACCAAATATACACCGGGAAGCCTAGGCACTCCCGGGGATCTTAAATGTTTTTCCTTTGGTTAGCTGCTGGGAAAATTAGGACAAGGCGCGGGGCGGATTTGTTCGGACCCCTTTTTTTATTTCATTTTTATCATCTATCTATTTTTCTATAGATTCTCTGGCAAGAAAAGCCCTTCATGTAGGTAGTAGTGAGCCCGCAAGGATCACACACCCGTATCACGCCCCGTGAGTGTAGGGCGCAAGCCTGATACGACTAGAATTCAAATCAAAATCAAACTCCTCGAAAATATCAGTCACAGCATGGTCTTCAGAGACCTGATCCCCCTCTCGCTCCGCATCTCAGGCGCCTGTTCTCCCTCAAGTTGTTTGTCCCATTAGAGCAACAGTCCCCCATAAGCCAAGACACCTACTTTGTAGATTATGACTTAAATTCCTCCTCGCGAGTACACATAGCCTCGTAATTTTATAGTGGGAAACAGCAATCTTTTTAAGAGGAAAATTCCCGACTGCATTGGAGTAACGCTATTATCGGTTTTTGAAGCGATGTGGTGTAGTAAGATTGAGGTGGAGGACCCGCGTGACAATGATAGATCAAACATTTGTCGAGAAGTTGTCGATTCTAGATATGCTCGAGGTTGCTCTCAACTTCGATTTGGATGCGATTCTCCTTGGCTATCCCAGATATGCAGAGCATACTGAGCAATTGTACCGACACTACTGGAAAGTGAATAATTCTAGACTTCAGACAGAAATCTAGTCTTCTTCGATATAAAAGAGGGGAACTATTCACAACTGTTGTTAGTCTTGTTCCCTACTAATCTCCAGCTCTCACTGTAGAGTCTGCAGAGCTGAAATTGAGTAACAATGTCCTCACTTCGATGAGGATTCCCAGTCGCTTTCGCGGTCTGTATCGTCTTCATCTCTCAACACATTCCCCTATCGCCACTATCATGAAGCTAACCACGATCAGATCAGACGGTAGGGTAGTTACCCTTCTCGTCACCAACCCTTGATCATAGAGAAGCCATCCGATGAGTTTCTGAAGCGTACCCAGCACCCGATACGGAGATGGCGGATTGGATCAAGTGGACCTCGACTGTTACAAAGAAGGGAGATGTGGATGAATATGCGCACCTCATGTGGTCTCGGTGTCTAGGCCTCGCCTGGCTGGGGCTGCAGGTATTTTGAGTCTTTTCCCCGCGCTTGCAGTTTCCATTGCTACCATTTTATTTGGATAGAAGGTTCCGTGGAAAATGTGGTTGACTTCCATGGATAAAAACTGAGCTGGATGGCTATTCATCAAGGGCAATATATCAATGATCTTTCAAGTAACAAAAGAGGATAGGAGCACTGTACAAGGTGTGGCCTGGTTCAGAGAGGAGCTCAATGTGCTAGATAGTCATAGACTCAAGTAATACAATAAACAAACACACACATACATACTCGTAAGTTAACATTTACCACAACCCTAACCCCATCATGTTGAGAATACAAAGATGATTATGTTTGACCAAGGCCCTTGTCATTTAACACCTAAGCTTGACACGGCACGCTCTTCGATGTTTTAATGTCTCCAAACGCGCACAGCTTTGTCCTTGCCGCCACTACCAACTTTCTGTCCATCAGGACTCCAGTCAACTGCGTATACCTCGTCTTGGTGACCTGGCAGATCTGTCATCGTCAGTTACGTACTCCAAAAATTTAATCGGTTTACAACAAAATGGCATACCCATGGATAAGTTAAATGTTTGCATGTCCCAGACTTTAAGCGTCGTATCCTTGCTACCAGTAACCAAAAGTCTCGAGTCAGGACTGAAAGCACATTGATATACGGGTGCCACATGTCCCCTGAGAGTGTGGAGAAATTTTCCATCCCTCCCGTTCCAAACTTTTGTATGATTGTCAAAGCCAGATGAGGCGATAAACAAACCATCTGGAGAGAAAGTCACGTGGTTAACCTGCTTTTGATGGCCAACCATTCGTGCGACTGGTTTGTTTCCCGTCAAAGGTTCCCAAAGATACATTGTAAAGTCGTCGCTAGCCGAAACAAGTCTTTCGATAAGTTGACCTTGAACGGTAACAGCTTTGGAGAATCTTTCTCTGGCCTTCGTAAGCTTAGCTTCAGTAGAAGATGGTACGTGAGCAGTGTGGTCGTAAAAAGCTGTACGGTTTACGAAGTCAGTGGAAAGCGCTAGATGGTTAACCCAGTGAGCGTGTGTTTCGAGTGACATTGCGAGAGTTCCATCACTCGAATTCCATACTTTGACCGTCTTGTCATGGGATCCCGTATATATAAAGCCCAGACCTCCCCATTTCACACATGACACAGATCCTTTGTGTCCAGTGAGTACCATTAGGATCGTTTGTTGGTTTGTTGACCATATCCTGACAGTCGCATCTTTTGATGCTGAGGCAAGTCTGGGCTTTTCTTGCTTCTGAACATGGTATGGTTCCCATGCAAGGCTAGTGACCCATTTTGAGTGACCTTTCATGGGTGAGCCTAGCTGAGTTCCAGTCTTAGAATCCCAGATGCGCACGGTATTATCCATACTGCCCGTGGCGATTCTTGAGTCGTCAGGTGACCAACTAACAGCTAGGACCCAGCTCGTGTGTCCTCTCAGCGTGTGAACTGGCGTACCAGTATCACAGTCCCAGATTCGAGCAGTGTTATCCCCACTGCCACTGACCATCCTGGCAGATGAAGCTGGAGAAAATTGGGTGGCCAAAATAGCCTCGCTATGACCTGTGATACATGAAGCGCATCGAGAGACTGCTTGGACCTTGAATACAGCTTGAGGTGCAGCAGATATGTTCAGTATTTCTTCCGTGTTGACAAGACCAGGAACTATCAATGACTTCCATAGGGAAGAGGGGTATGAAATTGAATTTTCATCTTTGGAATTCTTTGATTTGACTGATAAAGTAAAACGGTAAGAAATGAGCTCTGACGGGTCCTAGAAATATTAACTTCTAATAAAAATATATGAATCTTTCCTCACATTTGCTTGTAGGTTATTTAACAGTAGTTCAAGGTTCTTGGGACTAGCGTCTGCAACCGAGACCTGTGTTGGAACTCCGACCGGAAGGCCGGTTATCTCGTCAAAAAACTGTATTCTGACACTACCAGCATTTTTAGGTATTTCATCAAGAACCTGTTGCTCTCTTGCTTTGTCGGATGCTTCAGTTTTCTGGCGTTTGCTTAATGGTGGCAGTACAGTGGCCATCGTGCTAGGGAATGAAAGGTCAATTTATGTAACACAGTTATTGTTATATCGCTAACCTTGTTTTGAGGTTAAAGATCGAGAGGGATTTTGAGTTGTTGGAGAGAAAGGAAGAGTGGTATTCGAGCACAGGAACAGGTGAATGGAGTTCTAGATGTGAAGCTGTGGGAGTTGACAAGAGAAGCAATGAATATGAACTTTAGTTGTATTCAGTTTGAGTAGAAATTATTGATCTAAAGCGATAGAAGAGACTTATTTAAGTTGCAGAAATTAATTTTGGTCCGACAAAAGCTGTGGGATTATCAAGACACGTGCAAATGTCTCAGCTTGACAAAATTATCACAAAGTCGTTTAGCCCCGCATCACGACATTAAATTTAATCAATAAAACAATCATTTAGCCTCGGGGGAGGCCCCACCTGGGGCCAGAGAAATGATAGGGGAGAAGGGATGGCAGAAGTTCATTCGATTCTTAACTACAAGCCGATGTTACGGTCTGCCGAAGAATGAACAGGGTGGGAGGTGACCACGCTGAGATTGTTTCTGACCCGAGAGTAGATGGGTGTGGAAGATAGGGATGCGGCGCAGGGCACCGTAACTCAAACACATACTGTTCTTTTTTTTTTTTTTCAATCTTTTCTTTTGTCGCTTCTGGCCCCACTGCCGGTCATGTAGGTAGCAATGAGCTTTCAGAGCCCATCTACCCGTGTCACGTCTAAATAGATGTTAGGTTCTTCCTGTCACGTAAAAGATTTCAAATTCAAATTCAAATTCATTTAGCCTCGTTGCCCTGCAAATCTAGTTAGGAAGTAGCAAGGTCGAACCCACCAGTTAGTTTAATGGGTATTAGGGAGCTAAGCCAAGGCTTGGCGCCCCGACGGACAAAATTTCGAAAATAAAAATCGTTTAGCCTCGCGTGTAGTCAACTCCCCACCACTAGAGCGAGATACAGGAAAGGGAGAGGTTCTTTGTTCTGTTCATTAACGTGCTAGGTAGAGTGATTCCCAATGAAATCCAAGGCATGAGTACTCCTCTTGTAAATTGAGTCATCTTTTCTGTACTTTTATTTGATATTGTGTCATAGCTAGATAGCTGCATACGCAATTAAAATCTGATGCAAAAAAATAAAGAACAAACAAAACTATTCCCAGCCACAGCCAAGCGGACTCTTTTCTTAAACCCTTTCGAGATCTTAAAGACATCGGCCGCAGCGGCAGATAAGTAGAAGGAACTTTGAAAAGGCACAAGTTAAAGTGGCAACCTTTCAGCTTGCTTTGTACTAGTTTTTTCTTTTTTTTTTTTTTTTTTGCATCAGATTTTAATTGCGTATGCAGCTATCTAGCTATGACACAATATCAAAGAAAAGTACAGAATAGATGATTCAACGTAAAGGAAGAGCACTCATGCCTCGGATTTCATTTGCAAGTACCACTGCGAAGTTATGGCGGCTTTTTCTTCACCCCAAGTCAACCCTCATCCGTGAATACCCACTCAGGGGAACGTCTCAAAAACCCTGAGTTATCCAGACATGCCTCCGTCATCCATCAGATTTTCTCCGCGCGAAATGTAATCTGAGATGCCTCCTTCCCAAGTGGAGTAGGTGCCCAGGCTACTCAAACTATACCTGAGAACATCACCAGGAGGCGGATCACAACACCTTCCATCGTTTGCTTGTTTTTATAGTGTCAGCTGCACTCTCGCAAGCGAAGTCTTGGCGCGAACAAAGCTCAATTCGTAAAACTCCTTGCCAAAATTCGGAATCTCACGCCCTTCGAGGTTATATCCTTTCTTTGCATCATCTTGTAAACTTGTCCTAATCCCTCTCACTTCCATCCCAAAGAACTGTCTCCCAGATTTGTGCGCCACGCTTTGCTTCCTCCGTCGGGTATAAATATCGGCGCGGGCGTGTATTTGGTGGTCAACTAAGACCAGAGAAGGTCGAAGAGAGGTGTGGTCATTGGGATGAGGATGTACTAGGTCGTACTTGCAGACTTGATAAGACTTAAGTAGGCGTCAAACTCGAAGGGAGCGGAAAAACGACGTGGTGGAGTAATTTTAAATTTTGCCTCGTGGGCCAACTTCTTTGATTTTGCGAAATTTGACTAAACTTGGCTCTGGGAGAATATTTCACTCCCAGGTTCGTAGAAGACACCGCGTACAGGTGTTCAGTCTTGCCCTCCTTTGTACTAGTTTATTTCGCGCTAACTTACCCTCCCATTCATGGATATCGTTTATTCGCTAAAGGGGGGATATTTTTCCCAAATATATCTTTTCCTGTTGGAATTACAACTGGATAGTTTCACGATCGATCTTAATGGTTAAGTAAAGAGTGGTAAAATTCTGTGTTCTAATGATCCTGATTTGTGCCACGATTTAGGATCCACAGCTGTAGTGTAGAGTCTGGCCAGCGCATCTACGCCGAGGCTACTATGTGATCCCCACATGATGACACCTCTACTTTTACGATCTAGATCAACCGAAATTTCCATCAATTATCGTTAATGTATCTTAGTCATCGGATACTCTCTTGAATTCTAGATCAGGTCTCACCTCCCCAGGTTAGGGCATCATGGGCCTCCGACAACTGATGCAGTTAGACATGGTGTCTATTGCCCAACTGGGGTTTACATCAGACGGGCCTAGGCCCATTCTTAGATGGACGATAAATACAAAACTAATCGTTGTGGCCATGACTACTCGAAATTTAGACATGTCGATCTGTCCTTTTATATCGCATTCACCAAATCACAACTGATGATGCTATTACAGTTGTATGTTCATCTCAGCGCTAAAACTAATTAGAAAACGACGGTGGCACCTTGACATGCGCACCCGGTATTGAGCCAGAGCTCGTTAGTCCATTCTACGAATGACTCTAGTTAGAACTTGATCCCTGCATGATCAAGACGAGCCTCGTTTTAATTCTCAGACCTCTCGATTCTTACCAGGTCGCTTTCAACGTCATGGTTAAACTGCGTTGATTTTGTGCCCTTCTAATAGTCTTCTGAGACTTGAAGGGTATTTTATCCAATTTGACTGTCGAAGGTGAGAAGATCAATAAAGAGGAGCTCGCTACTGATTGGCTAATAATCCCAATATTACTTTATTCTCTGAAATTTGTGATACTCAACTCAAAAAAAGCTCGAAGCAGGGTGACTGTGACCCTAAGGGATATTTGTTGGCGTTCGAATAATACTAATCTATTGCTTTATGATCTCAAGACTGGCTCTTGTATTTTTATGGTGGGATGTATCATCAATCTCCCCTCGAGAAGAGCCAATCATCTTCAATCGTAATCTATCTATCATTTCAAATCTGTTACAGGCTTCTATGCAGATCACTCATTCCGCTCAGTACATTCTCACTAGAAAATTAAAATCTTCTCCATATTTTTCAAAATCGCATTGACTACAAAAATGACGTTACAACTGTTGCATCTGCACCACCTTCAACTCGACGCTAAGTGTTTTTCAAGACACAGCCCGACGCAATTTTCTCATGGCGTCACAAGAATTTCCACTATTTTAGTAGATTCTCTCAGATATTAGATGAATGAGCTCGAGGGCCGTGCACTGTTACCATGCTAAAAAAAATGTCTTGGCATTTAATTGTCTGATAAGAGCGATCAATAGTTGTGAACCTACCAATTTAGTACTGCCTTGTCAATCAGTGCGATGTGCAGGTAGTGTACATTGATAAATAGGGCATACCTGGATAATTAAAGGGATTGGATTTCCCTGTGGTGGGTACTCACGGAGGAGGATCGACTGTTTGTGTAAGCAAGCATACCTCATAGTGGTATTTGCGAATGAAATCCAGAGTATGAGTGTCTCTAACGTCAAAAGAGTCATCTAATGTGTTCACATAACACTGATAATAGATTTTAGCAAGAAAACTGAATACAGGTTAAATTATATACAAAAAAGGAGGTGCAGACAATGGCCAATTTTTCTGACAACTTCAATAAATATCAAGGAATGATTCTCAACCATGACATTTTTTAGAGTGCAACCATTTCAAGAAGCTAAGAACTAGTCATAATACATTAATCTTAGTAAAGTCCTACAGGGATAAGTGGTCACTATAATCCGTAATTTTATTGTAATACGTTCTGTCTATTTTTAATGCCATGTACATCCTGTGTAAGTCTAAGACAATTCTCTATTATATTTCATCACAAGTATCATAGTTCAAAGTCTTCTATGTTGGCTGATGAAGAAACATAATTTTTTAGACCGTTCAAAGCCTAATCTATCCACGTCTGGATAGTCAAACTCTCTTATTTTGATTCCAATCGTAAATTTTCAATCATCCACGTGCTTCCGTGCTTGCCGAACGTGCCGTTTAAGCAAAGAATTATGGATACACAACGATTCTGAAAGTGGCGTAAACTTATCACCGGTCTAAGATCTATCTATCATGGTCTAAAACGGGGCTAGACGGATGACAATAGGCTGATATTGATCCACATACAATGGAGATTGTTAGACTATGACCCCAAATATGTGCTGAAGCTAGTCATTTACGATAGCTGTTAAGGCCACTTTAATCTAGCTGTACCAATTTCATCGGACGAGTTAATGCTTGCCACCAAACTACTGGTTTAGCTCTTCGCCATGACCACGTTCAGCTTGAGCTATGAGAGACAGAGAGGTCTAATACTAGGTACTGAGGCGACTTGAAAGCCTATATAAGACACCCAGTTAGTGTATTCAATAACTCATCTCCTCTATCATCGATACAACAAGTCTCTATTTTGTCTTCTATTAAGCTCTTGAAACAGACACCCTATAGAAGTTATTCTACCGAAACTCTGTAAATATGCAGATCTCAATCATATTCCTCACCATGATGGTACCAGGGTTTATGGCCATGCCGTCAAGACTACACGGCTCTCGCCCCACAAACAAGCACACAACGAGCGATAGGGTCTCACAAATCCTCGAGAAATTCCATTCTGACAACAACATCAGCGTCTTGGACAAGGAAATTAATGGGACTCGGGTCTCGGAGCAGTCCATTGTGAACAAGGGCGAGGGTAATGTCCTTCAGCTCGAGACTATTGCCAATGTAACCAACTTAACTACGACCATCACTACTCCATCCCAAGGGTAGGCTAAGATTTGGAGAAGTAGTAGCAGCAGCTCGTGATGCATGGTAGGCAGCTGCCATCTTGAAAATTACCTTCACTAATACCCTCTATTTAGGGAAGATTGACTCGCAAAGCGACGGCACGATCTGGCAGGAAAATTTCGCGTCCTGGAGATGAGGAGTTCGGGTTGAGATTATCTCGCAAAAGTTTTGGAAATTTGGCTGGGACGTAGAACGCACAGCTCCTAGCACATTAATCTCGGAGTGAATTCCTGGAAAAATCGAGATTGTCTCTTCTATATCTCTTTTCACACGGCTCTTGCTGCATCAAACGTGACTTGGGGATGACCAGAGCTAGTCCACACCTTCTGGCTATCTACATGGAATCCTCTTTGCTATTCGTTTAGTTTGATTCACGTGATATGTTTTTTCCAGGCGTCTAAGATAGATAATCATCCCCTGATGGTCATAGTCTTTAATGGAACGTTAAGTTTGAAAAAAGTGTAAGTATTTACTATTGTAAGTGATATGGGAATGTAAACTTGCGCTGAAGTAGTTGAGTCTTTAATTGAGAGATATATTGACTGGTGTGTAGAAGTAAAGTTGTGATGATTAATATTTGATTAGGTTATTTATTTATTTATTTATATTAACGTCGTGCCTGCGCATAACACAGTGCTTGAAAGCCCCATGCCGGTTAGCTCAGCCTATAAAGAGCTACCCGACGCACCGGCATTCCCATAACAAAAACCCGATAAAGACCCCACTGCTCCCGGTCCGCATAGTCGCCAGATCAGTGAGACTCTTCTTAAATTGATATAAATTATATGATTAAAAGCGGAACTTAAACTACATGTGAATATTCGTATTTAGATAGCGTTGATGTCTAAGTAATCAGGGCTGTCCTACAAATGTAGGTGCAAACAGAGCTTCCCCCATTAATGGTACCTTTGAAACTCTTCGAAAAAATAGAGTGGACTTAAGCCAGTCTCGGAACAAGATAGCTCCTTCTGGTGAGCTTAAAATCCAGCGAGCGTCTGGGGGACGGGGGCGATTGGCTCCACGAAGCCGCGCCTGTAGTAGGCCATGTTGACAGGTCATGAAATGCTCCGGCGATTTATCATGTCCACAGGAGCATGTTAAAGGTGCGCTGTTGTGTGCGAAACGACGGTGGTATGCTGCAAAATCACCATGGCCCGACCGCGCAGCGAGAAGAAGGCCGAGGGACCGACGATCCATACTAGCGAGCTTTGGGGTGATGCGGGAGCTTGGCCCGATTCTGAGCGCTCTATACCGGTCAGGGGCATTTCGCGACCAGTATTCCGACGCAGAGGCCTTGTAGCGAAGAATGACAATTCCCCTTGCTCTGGCAATGGAAGGGGCCAGGTTGGGGGCGGTTATAGTACAGGCCGCTTTGGCGAGAGCATCTGCCTTTACATCTCCAGGGATTCCTGAATGCGCTGGGCACCGGCGTACAGAGACCCTTCCTGGCTCAGTGTATCTGGCACAGTTCCTTGAAGGCCAGGATCTTGCGAGATCCCGAAATTTTGCGATCCGAGTCGAGCTGGATGGGGTCGGCGGTCCAAGGAGTAAGCGAGACGCTGCCTCTTGGTTGTCGAGACAGACAGTGATATTGGTGGCGTAGTATGCCATTGGGTTTCTAATTGCAGCTGCGAGGCCTTCCATGGCCCCGACGACTTCTGCATCATATACTTCTGCTGATTGACCCAGAGGAACAGAGCCTTGATCAATCACATATTTTGCGCCGCGATAAATGCAGTACCCTGCCCCTGCTGAGCCTTCCATCAGAGCTCCGTCTGAGAAAACGAAGAGGTCCAGGGGCGGTGCTGAGGAATGCCATTGGGTGAAGACTTGGAGCCCTGCTTCACGACCAACTGCTCCAATTGCTGCGAGTATTTCGTCTCTTTTTGGTGTCCAGGGAGGTGAAGTCGTGTTCAGTGATAGTTCTGGGGAAATTCTGCGCCGAATCCAAGCCATTCTCGGAGATTTCCAGCGCAGTCGCAAGGGATGTTGGGGATCTGACGAGGCAACTCGCACTGCAAGCCGGTTGTGGATACGTTCGAGCCACCCCTGAGCTGATGACCATCCAGTTTCCCGCAGAGGGGCGGCCACTGGAGTGGTTTTGTATACTGGCAGTGCTGCACGGGCTGCATCGTTTATCCTGCGTTGAATACGGGCAATATCTTCTTTGCAGGTATTTGCTGAGAACCAGGTTTCGGCTCCGTAGAAAAGGGTTGTAAACGCTGCCCCTTATTTATTTATCTTTATTTAACGTCTGGCGCATCACGCGTCAAGCGAGTAACCCTATTAAGTCCCTACTGAGACAAAAGACGCTACGCTGCCCCCTTATTTGATCAGGTAGTGTAAACGCAAGTTGCGCAAACCTGAGGGTACAGCAACCCTAGGTGAAGTCTACAAAAATCTTCAATATATATAGCAAGATACCAGCTGAATTCAGGGTATCTGCGAACTAGTCTTTCGCTTTCAGCGGAGATAAGAAAAAGTCACGTGGAAGATGTGGCAGGAAAGGGAACGGGCGAGAAGCGCGGGATCCGGACAAAATAGTATTTCTTCCAAATTTGATTTCAGCATTTGATTTTAGTTTTGCTGTTAACTTCTACAATTTCAGTAGAAGTTCATGCGGTTGGAATGAGTTGGGCCTGTACGCAGTGATCCTTGCCGGCTCCAGCGGTCCTTGACCCAATGTGGAAAAGATAGCGTTAGCTTAGGACCAAATGTAATAAATAAATAAAAAAAAAATTACACGCCCGTCGTGTTGTGATCAGACCCACTTATAGATCACACAACTTGGATTGCCTAGTATTGGGCAAGTGTAGGGTTGGATGGTGCAGTGGTACACCATCCGGGCCGTTCTCCCAAGTAGATACTGGGTAGCTTGAACACCTACCCCATTCGAGACAGGAGAAAGCTGGTTCGAATCCAGTCAGACCCACGCACCACTCTCTCTCGCGGTGATATTGTACTTGTGGGACGATGAAAGCACATAGATAGCCACAGGTTTTTCACGCTTTTCCCTGTGGTGGGTATACACGGAAGAGGTTATACGCCGTGAGGGTTAATCTCGAGTGGTATCTGCAAATGAAAACTGAGTGTGAGTGTTCTAATCGTCAAATTGAGTCATCCTACATAAAGTACATATCTTCCGATAAAAACCTGCATGGGCCTCAAGGCGCCAAATCAGGATAATGAATAATTACTATTATTATTGGGCAAGTGTAACCGACAGGAAAAGCGACCCTGCGTCAAGGATACGTCATCGGCACACAGCAATGACAACACCAGTATCTCAACCATACATGATTATATGATAATATGACGCAGGTATATCTAATGACATAGTTGTTGAATGGCTGAATGGTTGGCAGTTATTGCTATTGATGTTATATCGTATGTATTGTCTTTGTGTATAAATACTCGCTGCTAGACCTCTGTACATGATCAACCTTTTCCACTCTTATATTCAATAGTCATCAATATAGCAGATCTACGATATATATCTGTCTTCTTCACGTTAGACTTAAAGTGCTATCCTACATCCACCCAAGTTAACTGTTACACCCATTGTGACAATTCTTAGACTTCTCATAACCTCGCTATTACAATACGTCGAGACTGTATTCATCCTTAGCATCATCTTGTTAACTTATCCTGAATCCTCTCACGCCAATCCCAAAGAACTGTCTCCCAGATTTGTGCGCCACACTTTGTGTCCTCCGTCGGGTATAAATATCGGCGCGGGCGTATATTTGGTGGTCAACTGAGGCCAGAGAAAGTCGACGAGAGGTATGGTAATTGGAATGAGGATTTACTAAGTCGTACTTGTAGACTTGATGAGACTTAGGTAGGCGTCAAACTCGTTGGGAGCGGAAAAACGACGTGGTAGAGTAATTTGAAATTTTGACTCGTGGGCCAACAACTTTGATATTGCGAAATTTGACTGAACTTGGCTCTAGGAGAATGTTTCACTCCCGGGTTCGTAGAGGACACCGCGTACAATTGTTCAATCTTGCCCTCCCAGTGGTGTCCCTGTTAAGGGGGAGGAAGTGGAGGAAAGCGACGAGGTCAAGTCTTGCGAATGAGATTGTCTACAAGGAGTAGAGCAGGCAAAGACGAATTCTTCACCTTCCAGTGGTGCCGGTGTAATAGCTCACTATGCTCTGCATATCTGGGATAGCCAAGAATCACATCCGAATCGAAGTCGAAAGCAACCTCATACACATCTCCACTTGACAACTTCTCGACAATGCCTCTCTCATCATTATCGTTTGAATCCTCAACCCATCTCTAAACACGCATCATCTCGCCTAAACGACCAATAAAGAAGTTGCTCCAATTGCATACAGGAGCTTGCCCCATTAATCTCCAGCCATCACTCACTATTGAAATGTATAACCCACTACTTAGTTCGTGGACTTATTGGTAGAGGGAAGCTTATGCAATAATGAAGGATAAAAAGATGACTATTCGACTACTCTACTAAAAACAGGTACCAGACTCCTTTTAATCCCAATAGATAGCCCGTGCGGGATCTCCCATTAACAGCAGTAAACAACGCTAGCACAGGGAGGGCAAGACTGAACACCTGTACGCGGTGTCCTCTACGAACCTGAGAGTGAAATATTTTCCCAGAGCCAAGTTCAGTCAAATTTCGCAATATCAAAGAAGTTGGCCCACGAGGCAAAAATTCGAATTACTCCATCATGTCAGTCTTTCACCCCCAAAGAGTCCGATTCTCAACTAAGCTTCATCAAGTCTACAGGTACGACATAGTACAGCCTCGTTTCAATAACCACACCTCTCGTCGACTTTCTCTGGCCTCAGCCGGTCACCAAATACACGCCCACGCCGATATTTACACCCGACGGAGGAAGCAAAGCGTGGAGCACAAATCTGGGAGATAGCTCTTTGGGATGGACGTGAGAGGGGTCAGGACAAGTTTACAAGATGATGCAGAAGAGGGACACGTTTTCGACGGGCGTGAA